AGCGAGAGAGAGCGAGTGCGAGAGATCGAGAGCGAAGCGAGAGAGAGAGAGAGAGCGCGAGTGCGAGAAATCGAGAGCGAGCAAGAATCCAGCACTGCAGTCAATTCCTTTGATATTTCCCTGAAAACAAAAACAGAAACCCACTGAAATGAAATGATCCAACTATTCAGTGACATGTTGCCAGGACATGAACATGACAATTATCCAAACCAACGCTATACCCCCACCCCGCCAACTCCTCCAAGACAGCCAAAGTGTACAAGAGTTGCCACAACAAACAAAGGCTGCAAAAAAAAACAATTATTACAACAAACTCCCCACTAGAGGAAACAAAAAAAAGCCCAGCAACACCATTTCACACTCATTTCTAAAGATAGTGTTAGACTAGAAATCAAATTTTCAGCATTTGGAAGTTACAGAATCAATTTATACATATTCTGCTGTAACTTGCATGCTGTTAAGTCTTGATGCACTGCCCTGAAACATTTATTGCACTTCTTAAAAGATCCTCTGGAATCTGACACCCAGCCCTTCAGGGCTGATGCCAATGTCCTGTTTAATTTGGATTAATTGTGGAGAGACACCCTCACCCGCTCTTCCGAACTTCTTTCCCACAAAAGTTTTTTTTAAATATATAATCTTTTCTAAAATGAGAAGGTGCTTGCACATTTTAAGCTCTCCCCTTCTCTGCTCACTCCCATCCTCTCTCGGTCATTCATCACTGTGACCTTTCAAACACTGTTCACATTTGCGAATGTGGGGTAGTCACAAAACATTGCATACCTTTGGCTTGCACATCACATTTGCAGTCAGTCTTTGAGGCAGTTTGTACGTTAATTTCTCTCCAACTTCGCAAAAGATTGATCCAGACTCTCCTGTGCTCGGAAGCAAGGATCAGGTCACCGTTTATCCGAGTGTGACAACCCCGTGAACAGCAATAAATGGTGTTTCTGCTCCTCGGGTTTCTTACATTTGTCTCAAAAACAGAATGACGCATCTGGGATGACCTCAGTCGGCAGGCTGTTAACTACTGCCTTAGAATGCTTCACTGGCCTTTGCTGGACAGTCAGAAGAAATTGACCAGTACAGGAATCTACATTAAACGTCAAACTTCAGGAGGCAGATGCCACCGTTTTCAAATGTGCACCCCATTCCCAGGATAAGGCTTTAGAAAAGGATGGTCCTTTCCCCTGTATAACCTCAGTTGCGGCTCAGCTGGGTAAAATGTACAGACACAACAAATACTTACAGAATACGCTGTCATTACTTTCTCAAAACTCAAAAAAAGCCAATTTACATTTCTGAATAATGGGTAGCAGAAACATACACAAACAAATACCCTATCAGGTTCAGGTCATGACATAAATCACAAGAGAAAAAAGCCTGAATTACTTAATGCTGATTGAAATCCAGGTGACGTGTCGAAATGCTAATTTTCTTTTTGTATAAATGAAGCTTTTCAAAAAAAAGTGTTCCAGCAAAGTTCACATCTTACTTTTTTCTTCCTGACTGCCACTTTTACAGGTGTAAGGGAGGAAATGTAACACAGTGAGCCAAAACACTGAGGTAGAATTGGGAATAACTATCCCACTGACCTCACAGTGTCCAACAGAATCCGGCTGAATGTCTTTCCATAATATTTCCATTGCTGACAGGGCAACAAGGTATATTTTGATGACTACCATTTAAACTGACGAACTTTTGTTCTTTCTGAGAGCTACTGATGCAAAGAAAATTCCTGAAAACTACTGGAATTGCAATTAGTTCTAAATGCTCCCCTCCCTTGCAAAATCAATTCTGAGGTAATACAATGGAGTACCCACTATACAGGGACCGCTGGATAAGATAGTCTCACTTTGTTATCAAGAAACCTCAAATGGACTTCTTGCATCCCCCACTCATCCTGTGCAATAGGGGGAGCAACCAAGACCACGTATTGCTTCAGTTCAGTTACCCTGTCTCAGTGAGACAATCTTCCCAGGCTTCACAGTGAAAATTTGGTGTTGGAAGGAGATGGGTGAAGTGTGATTCTACAAAGTCTGATTTCATATCCCAGGGGCAGCTTCAAACAACAGTAAAGGAAGTAGTCCTTTCTTATTTTCTCCCCCAGGCCTATCCAAGAAAAGGAAAACAGCTTTTTCTTCTGTTAATGCTCATGTTCATGGCTTTTAGTTAGTTAGTGTGTAAATAGGTTGGGGGGGGGGGGGGGAAAGAGGGGTGAGGAAGAGAACAAGACAAAGTTAGAGACAGAGAAACAGACATTTTGCGTGTGTGTGTGAGAGAGACAGTGACAAAGCGAGAGTGAGTGAGAGAGATAGACAGAGAATTTAAAAAGTGGGAATTTAACACAAATTGCTGAATGCAGATTCAAAATTCTGCACAGGGTATCTTGACCAGTGGAGATTACCACTGTTTGACTGCTATCTCAGGAAACAAGAAATTGCAGTGAGATTGTGCAGAAGTATATCAGATTGGAAATTTGAAAATAAAACACGTTGGAAATGAAACAGCTGATCAGTCAGCATCTGTACTGGTTGGTGATGGGTTTGAAATGGAAATTCATAACCTTTCCTGTTCTATTTAGGAATATGGTCTGGTATGCAGGGATTCTTTCCCCAGTATTTTCTGCATTGTTTCACACCATGCCAATTTAATTGATTCCGAATCAATTACCCGTGTAATCAGACAGAAGGAAAAGGGTGGGTTCACTCCACACAGCTCCAATAGCAGTGTAGATTGCCAGGTGCGGGTTTGTAGGAAGAAAGGAGGCTATTACAATGCTAAGTTCTGAGCAGTCACCAGTTCAGAAGTGACAGCCTCTGCATCTTTGATTAAAGAAAGTGTAGGTAGGAAAATGGTGCACAGCTAAGTGAATAAAGAGCCATGAAGAGCAAAGTAACCCATTTATTGGTGGCAAATTTCAGTTTTGCTGCCAACTCGGTGGGTTATTTCTGCCGAAAAGGACGGACATTATGATTTATCTGCTGCACCACAGATCAAACTGTGAAAAACAAGAGTGTTTTGGCCACTGGAAAAGATTTTGCATATTGTCAAACATCATTGTGCAGGTCTGGCAGTTTAATGGGAATAATTATTGAAGGTGTATCCACAATTTTTAATCTCCCACAACCCTCCACCCCCCTCAAAGATTCACAAGTGCAATACAGAAAGCCCCTAGGTGATCAATCTACTTTTACCAAATGGTTGGGGACTTGACTCATGTCACTGACCAGATTAACTAACATTCAGTAAGTTCAATTAGTGTTAACATCTAGTTGCCGAAGTCAGTAATCCTACGTGTGGCTAAGTAGTTTTGAATCGTCTTAACCGTCCTGCTAACTCAAAAGTTGCATTAAAATTGGAGCATTCAAACTTCAACTCCTCAGGCAAACTCCACACTGCCAATTTTTAAAACATTAACCAGACATCAACAAACATCAACGCTAAAAATAAATAGCATCTAATCCAAAATTAAAAACAAAATCTCACTGGTAAACTAGAACACAAAAAGTACCAAGCTGAAAATTATCTTTTGAGTGTTTCTGATTTTCTCCCTGGCGTTTCCTCAGTGCAAATCCTTTCACTATCAGGAGAGAAGACGGATCACAAGGTGGACCAACAATCAGGATTAAGCAGGCAGGGGCTGGTTTCTTGAATAGTGGATCTGCCCCTTGCTGGGGCTGAGACTGCTAGCAAAAAACATGAAGAGAGAGTGGTGGGAAATCCTACTTGTAGTTTACCGTGAATGCCCTGATGGCATGATACACGCACTGTCAGGGCAAATGTCCATTGTCTGAGTCACGCTGTTAACAGTCTCTTCCAGACTCTATGGTCCCAGGCACATCTCTCGTGTTCGGATGGTCTCCGTTTCCACAAATGAGACAACTTCCCCCAGCAGACAGGGTTGGACAGCAATCTCACTTCCTCAGGTGGTGCTTTCTTTGGTTTGTACTCCAAGCATATCTGGGTCACAGAAATCCCTTTTCTGGAGGCAAGATGGAATGGCATGAAGAGCAAGGCAAATTGACAGTGGATAGTCCGATGGCCCTGCTCCGAGAGAGAGAGAGAGTGAGTGAGAGCAATGAGGAGAGGGCAAGAGAGAAAATACATCTTTTGTTTGGTGCTGAAGGGGCTTGGGAATCTTCAAGGACAGTCTCGGTACATTCAGCAAGACCCAAAAGACACTGTGGAATAATACAAGTGAATATCTGAGTTAATACTGATACATCAATAGGTGAGAGTCAAAAGTGACAAGAATCAAAAGCAACAAGTGACGAGAAATCACAAGTAAAATATTTGGATATGAAGTACTTCCTTACTTGCTCACACTCCTGATGTTTCACGACATGTCTCTTGACTCGCTTCCAGCAACAACTCCTCCAGCTCCTTTTCAGTTTTGGGAGATGTAAACTCTTCAAAAATAAATGAAAACTATTCATAGAAAGGGCAAGGACCAGGCTTTGTCAAAACAGTACATGGTGGAAAACAAAAATAATTTTAAAACACTGGAGATCGTAAGGCTTTTTACTGATTGTTATTTTGAAAAAAAAGGAAAACTTTGTTCTTTGCTGGAAGTGCTGTTTCCTCCTGTGAAATGTCTCTCATTCATGAGGAACCCTTTTTAAACTCTGAACCAAAGTGCCTGTATTTCATGATTGTGTGTGGACGTCAGGTCCTGTCAGGGTTTATAACCTTGGGAAAATGTGGGCATGGGCTGCTGAGAATCAGCAGAGCCAAGACACAGTGAATCTTGTTGCAGTATCTCCATGAGGGCTTTGGCTCTAATTGTTAACTTAGCCAAGACCTTCAGGTCTTGTGGGACAATATGGCTCAGTAAAGGTGGTTGCTAATATGTCTCAGGGAGCATGGAAGGAACGGAGACAAAGTTTGGACAACTTTAGTCAATTGTACATGATGAACTGTTGATAGGGAAATTATGCCTCTGTCTAATTAACTGCACAAGGAACATCAATTATAAAGTGTATTCTGCCTAACTTAATTTTAAACGTCCAAGAGAAAGATATTTAACAATTGCTGGAGAAGGGGACTAGTTATCCAATAGTTATTGTTGTTTTTAAATATTGAATAATGCAGTAATTACAAGGATGTTGCCATTGTTGAGGGGTTTGAGCTAATAGAGAGAAGCTGAATAGGTTTTGCCTGGCATGTTGGAGGCTGAGGGGTGTATGAAATCATGAAAGGCATGGATAGGTTGACCAGCCAAGGTCTATTCCCTTGGCTTCCCAGGGTAGGGCAGCCCAAAACTAAGGGGCATAGGTTTAAGGAGAGAGGGGAAAGATTTAAAAGGAACCCAAAGGGAAACATTTTCATGCAGAGGGTGCTGCACGTATAGAATGAACTGCCAGAGGAGGTGGTGAAGGCTGGTACAATTACAACACTTGGAGTGGCACAGTAGCTCAGTGGTTAGCAGTGCTGCCTCAAAGCATCAGGGACCCGAGTTCAATCTCAGTCTCAGGTGGTCATTCTCCCTGTGTCTGCATGGGATTCATCCAGTTTCCTCCCACAGTCCAAGTATGTGCAGGTTATGTGGATTGACCATGAGAAATACAGGGTTACAGGGATAGGTAGGAAGGTGAGTCTGGATGGTATGCTCTTTGGAGAGTGGGCTGAATGGCCTATTTCCACACTGTAGGAATTCTGGAACATTTAAAAGGCATCGGATGGGCACGAATAGGAAGGATTTAGAGGGATATGGGCCAAATAGTGGTAAATGGGACAACATTAATTTCAGATATCTGGTCAGCATGGATGAGTTGGACCAAAGAGCTGTACAACTCTAAGGCTGTAAGTGAAGGATCAAAGAAAGAGATAACTTCAAGGTCTGTGAAAATTGAGATAGAGATTAGAATATGATGCAAAAATTCTTGTTGATATCGATATAGTAATGTGGTGGATTTGTAGAAGAGGGATTCATTTGCAGCTTAGGAGAGGGACGTGGAGTACGATTTATTGAATTATTGCTTCAATTGAAGATCATTAGTGCTAATTTATTAGGAGTCAGATTTAATCTATCAGAACACATACTCACCATGCTCAATGCTGCAGCTCATTGCTTTACCATCCTTGCCTGTGGTCAGCACTGTCGTCTCAGGCAGCCTTTGTACAAGCTCTGCTTTCAGTCCATTTGGTAAGGCAGCTCCATGTATCATGTGATCGCAGTCTTTGGCACAAACTGTCTCAAAGTCGTGCCCAGGGTTATCTACCCCTCTGTCCAGGTCTGACAGGCTTTCAGTCTGGGAGCTACCATCTGGGGCAGGAGCTGGTACAGTCGAAGTTGTCAGAGGGTCTGATGCTGAACAAGGTAAAGGCTCTGATGGGGATTCTGTCTCTTTAGTGGAGATAGTATGCTTTCTGCTTTGCAGCGTTTCATTCTGCCATTGCATGTCCTGGTTGCTGGGGTTCTCTGGTGGGCTCTCCACTCTGGTTACAAAAAAAACTTTGTGTCCCCTGCCTGGACTGGACACCAGGCGCTCGTTGTTTCTTGGTGTGATCTCGATTGGTGAGCTGACAATCACTGGACTTTCAGGCCCTGGAGATTTTAATTCAGTGGGAATCAGCATTGGCTGTTCACCAAAGGCGGCTGGGCTGCTTCTGTGACGCACATCACCTTCTATGACCGAGCCCTTTCCGCAATGTGTTTCCACAAGATCCTGCCGCTGAAGCTGCTGTTTCTCAGAGCTTGACGTTCCAACCACACTCACTTGTGCCTGGTTCTGGTCCAATTCCACCTGTGCTGCAGGCTGCAGATTTTGATCCACAGAACAGGACGTTACAATCGATTCACTGGTGCCAACCAGCTCTTCAGCATTCCTGGGTATGGATGGTACTGTCTCTTGGGTAACTCCATTTTCCGAACCCTCTGGCATTTTCTGGGTCTTCGGACAGACCTGGTTTTTTTGGGGCTCTTCCTTATTTTCGCACAATGTCACAGTGATCTCCGGCATCGACGCAGATTGCTGCATCTTCTGTTCTTTCTCCTCCTTCTCCTTTGCCAGGATGAAGTTCCTCTTGCAGCCATTTTGAATCTCTGTGAGAAGAGCCTTCTGAGTTTCAATGAAGCTCTTTACCTGAGGAGAAAGTAGAGTGGATGGTCGGTAATACAGGAACAACTTGGGTTTATATAGCAACTTTCTGGCAGTAAAGTGCCCTAAGTTGCTTCAGACAAGAATCAACAAAACTTGACACTGAACTACGAGGAGATATTAGGTCAGGTGACTAGCAGCTAGGTCAGAGAGGTATTGAGAAATGTCTTAAAGGAAGAGATATAGAGAAAGATATATATATTTTAGAGAGAGCAAGTGAGCAAGATATATATGTATAGAGAGAGAGAGACGGAGTGCTTTCTAGGGAACAATTTCCAGAGTTTAGGTCTCAGGCAACTGGCTGCTAATTTTGGAACAATTAAATCAGGGTGCACAGGAGGCTAAGATCACAGGAGTGCACAGATCACTGATGGTTGTAGGGCAGAGAGAGATTAGAAAGAGGAAGAAACCATGGAAACATTTAAAAACAAGAATGAGAATTTTAAAATCACAGCATTGACAAACTGGGTTGGGTGAATTCTAATTTACAGGCACTTTCAGCAGACAGGGTGTAGCGCCTCTCTCACAGGAGGCTGAGTCAAGTATCAAGGGGTGACAACATTACATCATTTCAAGCTTCAAAATGATAAACAGCCAGAATTAGTTCTTGAGAGCTAATAATCACTTTTGCCAGAAGTTAAATAATCAAGTGTGAATAATTTTGCTAAAACAGCATGGAAAGCTTTGAAAAAAAAACTTAACTACGAAGTATAGCCCGCATGTTAGGCTTCAAACCAGAAATTTTACATTATATATAAAGTTTGAAGAGCAGAAAAAGACAACCATTTCCATCAAGGCTGCTCCAGTCCATGGTAGTTTGGACACCTCCATTAGATTTTTCCTTTCTCCCCACTATATCCTGCAATGATCACTAGGTAGTCGAAATGATGTGTAGCAAAGTGAAGGTAAATTGCTTGTGTGGTTGTGTTTAAGTATTCTTTAAAATGGAAAAGGAAGGACGGGAGATGGATATCCGAAACATAAGACTAAGATTTTCTATTTTTTAAATTCGTTCATGGGTTATGAGCATCACTATCTAAATCATTGAATCACTACAGTGTGGAAGCAGGCCTTTTGGCCCATCAAGTCCACATGATCTTCCGAAAAGCATCACACCCAGAAGTACCTGCTACCCTATCCCTGTAACCCTGCACTTTCCCCACAGTTGACCCACATAGTGTGCACTTCCCTGGATGCTATGGGCAATATAGCATGCCAATCGACTTAACTTACACATTTTTGAACTGTGGGAGGAAACCGGAGCTCCTGGAAGAAACCCACGCAGACACAGGGAGAATGTGCAAACTCCCCACAGACAGTCAGTCACCCGAGGCTGGAATCGAACCCAGGTCCCCGGTGCTGTGAGGCAGCAGCGCAAGCCACTGTGCCACTCATGTCAACATCTATTGCCCATCTCTAAACATCCCATCAGAAGGTGGACTACTGCAGTCCATGTGGATATATCCACAGTTTTGTCAGAAAGGACGTTGTAGGATTTTGACCCAACGGCAGTGAAGGAATGGTAGCATAATTCCAAGTCAGGGATAATGTTTGGCTGGGAAAAGAACTTGAAAGTGGGGTGTTCTCATGCATCTGCTGCCATTGTCCCTCCGGAAGGTAAGGGTCACAAGTTGGGAAGGTATTGTCAAAAAGCCTTGGTGATGTGCTGCAGTGCACTTGTGGATGGTAAACACTGTTAACCACTGTGCGTCAGTGGCGAAGGGAGTGAATGTTGAAGGTGGATGGGATCAATCAAACAGGCTTTTCAAGCTTTGTTGGAGCTGCACTCATCTAGGCATGTGTCAAGTTTTCCATCTCACTCGATGTATGCCTTGTACATGGTGGGCAGGGACTGGGAGGCAGGAGGTAAATTACTTGCTGTGGAATCTCTAGCCGCTAACCTACTCTTGTAGTTATTGATGCGAGGAATATTCCATTTCAAAACAAGGAAGACAATGATTACTAACTGTTTCTTTCTTGGGTTCCCTGTCCAGGTCAAGCCTTAGCAGGGAATGGTTCACTTTAAGGGCTAGTGAGAGAGCCATAAGTCCACCAGTCTTGATCTCATTTTCACGCAGATCCAAGCGGAGCAGACGGGGACTGTCAGCAATGAATTCTGCCACAGCCACGGCGCCTAGTGAGGGAAAAAAAAATCACAGAAACATAATTCCATTTGCCATCATTAACACAGCAAGTTAAAAACAGCTCATGTCCACAACTATAAATAATGTACCAGAAACTTAAATCATTAAATCCCTGGTATGGAATGTAGCCAAGCAAATAACTTGAGAATGATAGTTGAGCTGTAAAGTTGCATAAATTCTCAGGAATATAGTGGGCCAGGGAATAAACAATTTAAACAAGTTTACAAACTTATAAAGGAAAACATGCAAATTTTATTTGTCCCCTTCCTACTCTTGAAGGTACTGACTACTGCATAAATTGGTTCTGTGGATATTGATCGACCTTATTTAAGCATGTTGTACCCTGCCTGGGACGGGATGTAATAGCGGTGTTGTCACTAGTATGGCAATTCACATGCTCAGGCTGATGCTCTGGAGATATGGGTTCAAATCCTGCCACTGCAACTGGCTTTAAATTCAATTAATAAAATCAGGAACCGAAACCTAGTCACAGGAATGGTGATCATCTATGGTGAGCCTACCATCGAATGTCATGAAAATCCATCTAGTGCACTGATGGAAATCTGCCACCCTTATCCAGACTGGCTTATGCAAGAGTCCACATCCACTGCAACGTGTTTGACACTTAACTGCCCTTGGAAGTGGCCTAGCAGCCACTCAATCCAAGGACAATTATGGATGGTCAACACATGCTGGCCTTTCCAGCGATGCCCACGTTTCATGAAAGCATAAAGAGTCCAGCATGTTCATGTAGTATACATGAAGGCACCATACTTTAAATTCTACCCTCACTCGTGCAAGTACAACTCCAGCAAGGTTAATTTGCATTGAGAATAGAATTAATCTTTTCTGACTTTTCTCCTCTTCGGGCCACCCCGTCAAACGAACTGATGTCAGCATGCACCGTCACTTAAAATTCATATGTGAATAACAAGTACTCAAACAAGATGCTGGAAGGGACACAACGCCCTAGAATCGCTCATTCAAGAGAAGTCACTGTTTTCAATAATGCAGAAAGAATTGGCGAGATCGGAATCATAATACATGATAATCATCACCCTGGGTGAATTACAGAACTTTGTCCAATCTTTCCTTCCTGCAAAAAAACAGTCTGCTCCTGAATATCTGAACCTGTAGTAGTTCACTATTCTATGAAGACATTACGAGTGAGGTGGACAATGGGGACCCAGTGGATGTGGTGTACCTAGACTTCCAAAAGGTCTTTGACAAGGTGCCGCACAAGAGGCTACTGCATAAGATAAGGATGCATGGCATTAAGGGTAAAGTATTAGCATGGATAGAGGATTGGTTGACTAACAGGAAGCAAAGCGTGGGGATAAAGGAGTGCTATTTTAGCTGGCAGTCAGTGACTAGTGGTGTGCCTCAGGGATCGGTGTTGGGACCGCAATTATTTACAATTTATATAGATGACTTGGAGCTGGGGACCACGTGTAGGGTGTCAAAGTTTGCAGATGACACTAAGATGAGTGGCAAAGCAAAGTGTGCAGAGGACCGTGAAACTTTGCAGAGGAACATAGACACATTGAGTGAGTGGGCAAAGGTCTGGCAGATGGAATACAATGTAAGTAAATGTGAAGTCATACATTTTGGTAGGAGTAATAGTAAAAAGGATTATTACTTGAATGGTAAAAAGTTGCAGCATGCTGCTATGCAGAGGGACCTGGGTGTCCTTGTGCATGAATCATAGAAGGTAAGTCTGCACGTACAACAAGTAATTAGGAAGGCAAATGGAATTTTGTCCTTCATTGCTAAAGGGATTAAAATAAAAAGCAGAGAGGTTATGTTGCAGCTGTACAAGGTGCTGGTGAGGCCACACCTGGAGTACTGTGTGCAGTTTTGGTCTCCTTACTTGAGAAAGGATGTACTGGCACTGGAGGGGGTGCAAAGGAGGTTCATTAGGTTGATTCCGGAGTTGAGGGGGTTGGCTTATGAGGAGAGACTGAGTAGATTGGGATTATATTCATTGGAATTCAGAAGATTGAGGGGGGATCTTATAGAAACATATAAAATTATGGAGGGAATAGATAAGATAGAAGTAGAGAGGATGTTTCCACTGGCAGGTGAAGCTAAGACAAGAGGGCATAGCCTCAAGATTAGAGGGAGCAGATTTAGGACTGAACTGAGAGGAATTTCTTCATCCAGAGGGTTGTTAATCTATGGAATTCCTTGCCCAGAGAAGTAGTTGATGCTACTTCAGTAAACGCTTTTTAAAAAAAAAGGTAGATTTTTTTTGAACAATAAAGGAATTAAGGGATAAGGTGAGAACGCGGGTAAGTGGATCTGAGTTCACAAAAGGATCAGCCATGATCTTATTGAATGGCGGAGCAGGCTCGAAGGGCCAGACGGCCTATTCCTGCTCCTAGTTCTTGTGTTCACCTGGCTTTCTTCTTGCACACAGTGACTGCCTCTCGGCTATTTGACTGTGGAGCGCATCACAATTGAGTCCAGTCCTATCTTCTGCGGGATAGTTTCCAGCATTGGTTCAAGGTGGGAGTGGGCTTTGGAGTTTGACCACAGGATAACAATCGCATGTGGGACAGCTGACTCTTACCCCTAAAAACCACCCCATTAATAACGTAGGCGCCTTGAGACAATGGTAGCCTCCCCAGCTAATCTGTGATAGAGTTCAGCTAATCTAGACAGGGACAAAAAAGAAAAATCTTTCTGGTTGGACTGCCCTTTTGGATAGTCAGTCAGTTTTGAGACAAATTTATCAACAATGGACTTTAGTTGTATACATCTTAAAACAGAGCACTGCAATAAAAATGCTCAGAAAACTGGTCTGAAAGCTGCAGGATGCAGCAAGATGCACACTTGAATGTGAGTCACGTGTTTCGCTCTTACCTTCACAGGTGAGTTTTGTAGACGCCAATCCCAAACGCAGAACCGATCGATTTGCAATCAGTCCATCTTTGAGTTTGTGTACGCCTTCATTGCCAATAGCATTATGGCCGAGATTTAACGTTTCCAGACTCAATGTGTAGGGCTGAGGAGATAAAAAGAGAAAGAGCGAGGATAGGTGAAAGAGAAAGGAGATTTATTTTTCAATGTAACTTGAATCAGTCTGTTGATTTTGCACTGAAAACATTTGCAGGTGCAGCCCCTCACAACAGCAGAGCAGTAGAAACCACCTGGTCTCAAATCACTAGTTCAATGCAAAATTTAATATGGATAGGTGTCATATTAAATTGTGACATATAGTTGAGGAAATTTCTGAACACAACAGTTGAGAGTTCCGGAGATTGTGAAGGGACTCATAGAATGATGCATTTTAGTTAGCGGGGGTGTATGTGCATGTGGGGTGTGTGGGGTGTATGTGTGTGTGGGGGGGTGGTGTGTGTGTGAGAGTGAGAAGGCAATGGCGTAATAGGAAGGTAACTAGTAATCCAGAGCTCCCAGGCTAATGTTCTGAGGGTCTATTTCAAATCACATGTTTGCAGCTGGAAGAACTGAAATTCAATTAATGCCTCTTGGAGAATGAAATCTGCTATCCTTAGCCAGTCTGTCCTACATCTGACTCTATAGACACAACACTGAAGCTGGCTCTTAACTGCCCTCTCAAGTGGCCTCGCAACTCAGTCAGCTAAAGGGCAATTAGGGATGGACAACCCAAGGTGACACCCACATTCCATGGAAGAAATTTTTAAAAACTGAATATTTTTCTGTCAGTTTAAGTGGCTTTATACAGTAACTTGACCTATCCGCATCACTATTACATTTGCAGTGAAAAAATGTGCCCAACCTGTGTGAGTGATAACTCCATCATATCTAAGCTGCCTACATTGGTGTTTGAATCTTTGGGTGTATAGTTTGACTGGATCTGCTTAAAAAAAAGGAGGAAATTATTTTTCTAGCACATTTCACAACCACTAGATATCACAAGAGCTCTGCAGTTAATGAAGTCATTTTGAGGTGTAGTCACTGTCGTAGGAAATGTTAAAGGTTATTGCACAGAAAGCAGCACTGTGGTAATGACCAAATAGTCTGTTTTGGGATGATGATTGAGAGATAACAGTTGGTTAAGACACTAGGGAGAACTCCTTTGCTTGATCTGTGCCATGAGATCTTTAACAGTCAACCGAGAGGCACTCCCAACAGTTGGCACTTCCGAAAGAACAGCCCTCCCTCAGAATGCAGTGCAATGCAAAGTCAGATTTGTACACTTGTGTTTGGTTTGGGACTTGAACCCACAACTTTCTGGATTTGGAGGCATGTGTTTGTTTCAAATTCTTTTAAGTGATGTGCATCATCAGAAAAGGCTTATGAACATCAGAAATAAAGTGGAGTTAAAATGAAGGTGCAGAAAGAAACAACAGGTAGCAATCAAAATTTTGAAGCGTTTTGTAGCTCAGCTCATTATGGGTCAGAGTAAACATTGGGGCTACACAGTGTGACTGCAACCAATTACTTCAGAGTTATCTGGAATGTTTACATAGGCAATTCCATTATAACTGATTACATAGGAATCTTCAGCGTTAAATATTGACACAAGACATCTGAACAAATCTCATGACAACTGGAAGTCATATCTGTGGACAGGAAATGTCCAGATTATGCACAGTAATGTTTAAAAATTACTAAGAGTACAGCCCACAGCAACGGAATATCTAGTTCCAAAACAGCGTGATTCAAAAGGCAATCGTGGTCACTCACTTACCAGTGCAGCTGCCATGTAGGTCATCCCATTGTGGGTCAGCTGATTGTTCCACAGAACCAGGGTCACTAAACCCTGTCTTTGCTCCTTCAACCCATCAGAAATATATGCCAAGCCTGTGAATAAAGCAAAGAACACCCTGGCAAACTCCTGAAAACCCATTCATAGTCAGATTTCTCCTTCCTTTCTTGAAAGCACTAGTTATCACTGGTTAGAGACAAAAAACCTGCAGATGCTGGAATCCAAGGTAGACAAACAGGAGAC